CCTTAGGCACTATGCCACCAGAGCTCCTTTCTCATTCTTTACAGAAGTAGATTGCCCAGTCTTCCTCCTGCAGAGTGGCTGGTGGGTTTGAACCGCCAACCTTCTGGTTAGCAATCAGATGCCTTAGGCACTATGCCACCAGAGCTCCTTTCTCATGCATTACTAGTAGGAATATAGGATGATTAGTCACTCTAGAGAACACTTTGGCAGTTTCTTAAAAAATTGAACATATTATGCAACCCAGCATTCCCAAAGAAATGAAAACTTCTCTTCACACAAATACCTGTATGTGATTGTTCATAGCTGCTTTATTTGTAATAGTCAAAATCTGGAAACAACATTTTTTTACCTCAATAGGTAAACAAGTAAACAAACTATGGTCCATTTATACCTTGGAATACTACTTATCAATAAAAAAGAATGAACTGTTGATCCAAGCAACAACTTGCATGGATCTCAAGGGCATTATACTGAGTGAAAAAACGCCACTCACAAAAAATTTTCACCCCATATGCCTGTCTATTGGTTTGGCTTCCAGCTGAACTAATAGACAGGCATATAGGGTGAACATTTATATCAGGCAGATACACTCCTTAGTATGATCAGTCATGGGAGAACAGAAGGGCAGTATTTGCACAGGGAGAAAGCTCAGGGGGCAGGAATACATAGGAAAGAAGAACTCAGAGAGGAAGTAGGAAGAGAGCTGTTAACATTGTGGGAATTGCAGTCAATGTCATGAAACAAAATGTGTATGAACTGCTGTGTGGAGAATGAATTTGTTCTTTGAAGTTTCACCCAAATCACAATAAAAATTCGAAAAAAAAATTGCAAGTCAAAGCAGGAAAAAAAAAATCACATGATTCTAATTACATAACATTTTTGAAGTAACAAAATTACAGAGATGGAGAACAGAGTAGGAGTTGCCAGAGTTTAGGGATGGTGGCGGGAGGATGTGTGGTCATGATGGGTAGCACCAGGGAGATCTTTGTGTAATGGACTACCTCTGTGCCTCGTTGGCAGAGGTGGTTACACATCCTATGGGTGATTAAATGACATAGGTCCTGTTACACACACAAGGTACCAGTGTCAGTTTCCTGGTTTTGATAACTGTACCATAATGATGTAAGATGTAATGATTGGTAGAAACTGGGTGATGGATACAGGGGACCCCTCTGTACTAACTGTGCACCTTCCTGTAAATCTGTAATTATTTCAGAATAAAATGCAGGAAATAAAACAGAAATGTGAAAAAACAAAAGTTCTCCAGGTGATTTTAAAGACCAGCCAGATTAAGAACCAGTGCTGTAAATCTTGAAGCTGTAAAACCTAGGCTGGAGGATGTGGCCCAGGGTAAGCCAATCTCCCCCATGTCACCTCAGCTCCTGGAGGCAGAATCCTGGCTGGTGGAACAGGGCTGTGTCCTGGACAGCAAGGCCATGGGCCAGAGTGCTGAGGCCACACAGGCCCTCCTGAGAAGGCTGGAGACCACCAGGAGAGACCTGGAGGGATTTAGCACACATATGGAGAGGCTGCAAGAGATGGCGATGCTCCTAGAGAGCACACGGAACCCAGACAGGTGAGGGGAGCCATGCCCATGGGGTGGAGCAGGGAGAAGGGCACTCCTTGAAGAGGCAGCCAGAGGCTGCGTCCCACCCAGAGAGGAGAGGGCTGCAGTCCAGCCTGTGACTTTCCTGCTGCAGTTCCAAAGTGCTGACCCAGCTACAAGTGGTAAGGGAGGCCCACACGGGGCTGCTGCAGGGAGTGGAGGTGCGGGGACAGCATCTGCAGGATCAGCTGCGGCTGCACCAGCTGGAGCGAGAGGCATTGATCCTCAATGCCTGGCTGGCCAGCAAGATGGACACGGCCGAGTCTCAGGACTATGGGCAGGACCTGGAGGGCGTCAAGGTGAGTCACTCCCAAGCAAACCTGGAGGAGAGAAGACTGAAGCCAGCTAGCAAGAACAAGAAAGGTCTGCATTTTGAGGTGGGAGGGAGGCTGGGAAGTGGACAGAGGGGGAGTAGAGGACCTCTGGGCCCTGAGAGGCCCCCTCTAGTTCTAGAACCAGGGCTGAGGGACACAGGAGCTGTCAGATCCTTCCAATCCCTTCATAAGTTTTGAGAGCTGCCTAAAACTATTCCAGAGTGATCCGGTGTGGCCCCACATTCTTGCAGGTGCTGGAAGAGAAGTTTGATATTTTCAGAAAGGAAGTCCAGAGCCTAGGGCAGGCCAAGGTGCAGGCCCTAAAGGAGCTGGCAAGCTCCCTGGAACGGGGCACACCCAGGTGTTGTCCCCAGATTCAAGCCTGCAAGAGCCGCATCAAAGCCACTTGGGAGAAGCTGGACAGAGCAATAAAAGCCCGCACAGAGGTAGGCACCCACTGGCCAGGCCAGGGACAGCCAAGGGGCCGAGGGACGAGCCGAGCCACCACAAATGTGTGTGGCTGTGGGTATATAGATGTGTCTGTATTTGCGTGTGTGTGTGTGTGTGTGCATGTGGGAACTCTGGTAGCATAGTGTCTAAGGCATTTGACTGCTAACCAGAAGTCTGGTGGCTCAAACCCACCAGCCACTCTCTGAAGGAAGATGGGGCAATCTACTTCCGTAGTGATACTGCCTTGGAAACCCAAGGAGGGGTCACTAGGAGTCAGGTCCGACTCGACAATAACAACAACGTGTGTGCATGTGTATGTATGTGTAGGGGGCGTTGATTGCCTCTAACTCACAGCACCAATCAGATCCAGAGCTCCAAAGTCTTTCACATTCAGCTTCTCCCATCCCAGTTTGGTTTCCTCCTAGTATTGGTCACACCTCAAAGGAGAAAGAAAAAGCATGTCTGGTCAGCTTCTGAATCCCTCTAAAAACTCCCTAAGCACAGGCTTCAGTTACATTAAGACACTCACCCTGTTCGGTCTCTACTTGTTTATTTCACACATTTAACACCATGTTGGAATTCCCTTCTTCACCTCTCCACTCTTCACCTGTCCTAATCTACATGCAAGAAGATTTGTATGCTAAGTAAATGTGCTGTTTCCTTCCACAACCTTAGCTCTCGATCACAGCTGGTTGTTTCTGTGGCTCAGTTATAGAGTTCCTGACAGGCCCTGTCAAGTGAGAGGATGCTGACTCTGAAGACCCTAGGCCAGGGTGGCCTCTAGGCTGACTCTCTCCTCTTCCGTGGTGGAAGTGGCGGTGCCTGCCCAGGTGCAGCCAGACCCCAATAAAAGCAGCCCACTCTCCCCAGTGAGCCTGTCCTCACATGCTCCATGGTCCCCACCTCTTTGCCTTCCTTGTGAGATGTTCATGAAGATCCTTTTCCTTACATAATGCCCTGTGGCCCCACCACACCATCAGTAACAGCACACCCTTACTGAAGCTACCATACCTAGGGCATTTTCTGTACAATGGGGGCGTGAATGAGTCACCAAACCCATAGTCCTCCTTGCTTAGAAGGGAGCAAGGGAGAAAGGTGCTCCTGAAGAGCAGAGCCCAGCTCTCCCTCCCTCCTTTCCCAGAACCTGGCTGCAGCCCGTGAGATCTGCAGCTTCCATAAGGCAGTGAGCATGCTCCGGGACTGGATGCAGGAAAAGGCAGCCATGATGGAGGGTGGCAGCTGTGGTCATGACCTGCCTTCTGTGCAGGCCCTGCAGTACCAGCACAGATGCCTGGAGGTGAGGAATCCAGTGGCTGCCTATGTGAGCCCACCCTTGGGAGTCCCTCCTTGTAGGAGATGGTGAGGGAGCCTGTCTTGTCCCATCCCTAGAGGCACAGGGGAGGGCCTACCCACCCCAGGGCTGCCTGCCTGTGCCTCCTCCCTACAAACCTTGCCCTGGAGCCCTGGACTTAGCTCAAGCTGTGGACAGAGCCAAGGTACCGGCAAAGCAGGGCCAGCACTCCTCAAATGGGGAGAATGGGGCCTGCTCTCATGTTCTGGCTGCAGAGGGAGCTGGTGGCTGTGGAGAAGAAGGTGGAGTGGCTGGGGATGGAGGCCAGCCAACTGGGCCAGCTACACCCTGCAGCCCAAGAGGGCCTGGCCGAGCAGCTGACCAAGGTGCAGGAGGCCTGGGCCAACCTGGACAAGAAGGCCCGGGAGCAACACCAGCAGTTGGAGTGGGCTGCCCAGGGCCATGCCTTCCTTAGGCGCTGCCAGGAGCTGCTGTAGGTGATGTCCTGCCTTGGCTGTTGGTTACTCTGCCCTGAGGGGTGGGGGGCACCCAGCTCTTTGGGGCTGGACTCTCCCTCCCTCTGCTTAGCTTATGCCCAGCCCCTGCCTCCCTGTTCTGTGCTCCTGGCCCTGACACACTGTCCACTCCTTGTCCCACAGCACATGGGCTCAGGAGAAGCAGGCGCTGGTGTCCTCAGAGGAGCTGGCAGGGGCCGAGCATTTCCTTGGGCAGCAGGAGGAGCTGGGGCAGGAAATCACAGAGCTCAGCTTTCGAGCCCAGGATGTGCAGCAAGAAGGGCAGCAGCTGCTGGACAACAGCCACTTCATGTCCCCAGAGGTGTGAGCACAGAGGGTTGGGATTGGGGTTGAGCTGGGATAGAGCCCCATTACCCAACGCCTCAGAGCCCTTAGCAGGCAAGGAAACCAGCAGGAGAGGAAGGCCTGTAACAGGGCATGGTCCCAGTCTTGAAACCTTCCCTTCCCCCAACTCCTCAGTGCTCTATCCCTGCCCTGCCCTGTGTCTTTACCTGAGCATCTCACCTGCAGCATCACCACCCCAATACCCAGGTCACAAAGTGTCTGCAGGAGCTGGACCAGCGGCTGCAGGAGCTCCAGGAGGCCTGGGCCCTGCACCAGGAGCGCTGCCGGGAGAGCCAGAGCCTGCAGGAGCTGCAGCAGATGCTGGACCAGGCTGAGGCCTGGCTGGCCTCCCGGGAGGGCCCTCTGCTGGACCCCAACTATGGGGTGGGTGGAGACCCTGCCTCCACACTGTCTGGCAACTGTGGCTGTGGGCAGATCCTCCTGCTGCTTGCTGTCACTGGCCACCCAGGCTCAACCACCGTGGGTGAGGGGAAGGCTCTTGGAACCCCAGGGAGCGGGGCCTCACCCTGGCTTGTTTCTTCCCAGCAATCAGTGTCAGATGTGGAGTTGCTGCTCCACAGGCACCAGGACTTAGAAAAGCAGCTGGCAGCCCAGGAAGAGAAGTTTACCCAGTTACAGAGGACAGCAGAGGTGAGGGGAGGCTGGGGTGAGGATGTGGAGAGAATGGTGTGAAGGAGGGCGGAGTGGGAACAGCCCCTGATCTCACCCTGAGGTGTGGTCTCCCAGACCATGAAGCCCATACCCAGTCCTCCCTCAGGACTTCCCTTCAGGAAAACCCCACTCATTTCTGTCCCTTCCCAGCCTTGGAGTCCTGTCATCCAATATTCTGGCTAGGATAGGGCACCACCCACTTCTAAGTAGAAGCAGGAAGAGTTAAGGACAATGAGCAACAGGAGCTCTCTGGAAACAGGATGGGAGAATATTTTTTTTTTTTTTTTAGATAAAATTCACATAATATGAAATTCACTATTGTAACCATTTTGAAGTCTACACTTCAGTGGATTTTAGTATATTCATGGTGTGTACAACTATCCCACTGCCATCGAGTCATTTCTGACTCATAGCAACCCCCATTGGGTTTCCAAGGCTGTAAATCTTTACTGTAGTAGATTGCCTCATCTTCCTCCTACAGAGTAGCTAATGAGTTTGAACCACCAACCTTCTGGTTAGTAGCCAAATGCCTTACCCAGTATACCACCAGAGCTCCCTTGTACAACCATCATCACTACATAATTCCAGAACATTTTCATCACCCCAAAGAGAAACTCACACCCACTGAGAAGTCACTGGTGTGAGAGGGATTTTGAAAAGAAAGGCTGGGGACTTCTGGTAAGATGGAGGAATAGGCAGACAAACGACAAAGACCCTCCTCAACAAAGAAAAGAAAAACCAATTGACAGAGATACAGAAGATAATCCTGGAGCCCTGAGCTTTGAAAGGAACTACACAGAAGTGGATTAGGCACCAACTAGTGGAAAAACCTGAACAAAAACAGTGAGTACAGAGACGGTCGGAGCTACAGACTGTCAGCTACTCTGACGGGACCAACAGCCTAAATATTTCCAAATGGTGTTGGGATCTGAGAATTGACCTAAAGATCAGTCCTGGTCACCAGGGGCTTCAGGGATGGCTGCACTGGTGGCCTATGACTAGGAAGGGAAACAGCAAGGAGGGAGACTACCTGAACTGTGGACTTTCTGCTGTCTGAAGGATGCAGCCATTTTGATTATTTACACATTGCAGCCATTTTGGATATTTGAAGTGACCGAGGGTGCAGCCATTTTGAATGTTTACAACTGGCAGCCATTTTGGATATTTAAAGTGACTGAGGTACAGCCATTTTGAATGTTTACAAGTGGTGGCCATTTTGGATAATTAAAGTGACTGAGGGCACAGCCATTTTGAATATTTACAAAGTGGTAACCATTTTGGATTTTAAAGTGACAGCATTCTCATTCAGATCCCAGGGACCTAAGAATAGGCTGTTTGCCAACGTTGGGAGGGACATCCAAGAGGCTGACAATAGGAAAGGAGACAGGTGGTGAATGTATAAGTGCTGTCAACTAGTGGATAGAGGAGCACAGTAGCTTGCTTGCGTAGATAACATACAAAGAAAACTAAAGTCATGGGCAAGTCACTCCAACATATAATCACCAATTAAATATAAACACAAAAATGTCACAATGCCTTGGAGACAACAGAGCATCACAGTCCACACAAAGAAGCAAGATACAGCAGAAGAAACAAGGGACCAGGATACAGACCCAAAACACATCCCTGAGGAAGATGCAGCATTGGAACTCCCTGAGAAGGAATTCAAAAGAATTATATTTAGGTATCTTCAATGAATTGAGAGGCAGATCAGAGAAAACTAGAACAATTTTGAAAGACAATACAAGAACAAAATGACAAAATAAATGAAAAATTAGAAATGATTCAAAATCTACTACAGAAATCCAGAGCATTAATACTAAATTTTCAGAAATAAATAAGACATTGAATGGGGAAAGAAGCAGAATTGAATCAATGGAAGACAGAATTAGGGAGATTGAAGGCAAATACCTGAACACTTCTTTGGAAAGGGATCAATCAGAAAAAAAGGTCAAAAGAAAATGAAGAAAGCCTAAGGTTCATGTGGGATATCATCAAAACAAATAACCTATGTGTCATCGGAATTCCAGAACAGGAAGAGACAAAACCACAAAGAAAATTGTTGAAGGTTTATTGAAAGAGAATTTTCCTGGTATGATGAAAGATGAAAATATATCCATTCAGGAAGTCCAACAAACCCCAAACAGGGCAGACCCCAAAAGAAGATCACCCAGACATATCATCATCAAACTTACCAAAACCAAAGACAAAGAAAGAATCATGAGAGCAGCATGTGAAAAACAAAGTTACCTACAAGGGGCAACCAATAAGACTAAGCTCAGATTTCTTGGCGGAAACCATGCAGGTAAGAAGATAATGGGATGGTATATATAAAACATTGAAAGAGAACAATTTCCAACCAAGAATTCTGTACTCAGCAAAATTGTCCCTCAAATGATGGTGAAATTAGGACATTTCCAGATAAGCAAAAATTAAGGGACTTTGTTAAAACCAGACCAACCTTACAAGAGATGCTAAGGGGAGCCCTTTGGACAGAGAAACAACAACTGACCATTAACACACATGATCATATAACCCAGAAACCAACCCAGCTATGGAATTATCCAAAGTAAATAAGCCTACAAGATTGTAAACAGGGAACCAGAGACATCAATTAACAAATGAGGACAACTACATGCCAAAAAAGGGAAAAAACTGTCATTACAGAACTTCTAGATGGTAGGGATGTCAAGACAACAAGATAGAACGGACTGTTGTAAACTTGGGAAGAAAACTATAAATCACAGGGTAACCTCAAAGAAAAATTATAAACCTTCACATCAAAAAAGATGACCAGCATAA